CTGTGTGTGTGTGTGTGTGTGTGTGCGCACCTGCCTGCATGTCACCGAGCATGTGTGTGTGTGTTTTTGTGTGTGTGTCTGTGTCTCTCTCTCTCTCTCTCTCTCTCTCTCTCTCTCTCTCTCTCTCTCTCTCTCTCTCTCTGTGTGTGTGACTGTGTGTATGTGTGTGTGTGTGTGTGTGTGTGTGCCTGCATGTCACCCAGCGCTGATCTTCTGCGTGTTCATGAATACGTCTCCTCTGCTGTCAGTGTGACAGATTGGAGTGTGAGTGAGCATTTATGAGCGCTGCGCCCATGTAGGGAGCGTGTATCATCCTGACCTCCACTTGTCAGACAAGCGGCTGTTCGAGACCAAGAGGAAAGATCAGCTGAACGCGCTCAAGAACCTGGTGGAGCTGAATGACATCAACCAGCAGTACAAGATCATAGACATCATGCTCAAAGGGCTCTTCAAGGTGGGCTGTTGGTGTGAAGCAGAGACGTCGAGCACACACATTAGTGTCAGGAAAAAATAAACTAGCAGCCAGGATCCTGCCAGCTTCTCCCAGCAGGTTGATGGAATCCATCCATCCATCATCTCTACACCTTAATCCTCACCAGGGTCATGGGGGGCTGGAGTCTATCCCAGCTGACTGAAGGCAGGTTCACCTGGACAGGTAACCAGTCTATCACAGGGCTACACTTAGAGACAGACAACCAAGCACACTCACATTCACACCTACGGACAATTTACAATCACTAATTAACCTCAACATGTTTCTGGACTGTGGGAGGAAGCCGGAGAACCCGGAGAGAACCCACGCTGCACGGGGAGAACATGGAGACTCCACGCAGGAAGATCCCGGGTGTCCTCACCGGGACGCCAACCGGCGACCTTCTAGCTGCGAGGCCACGGTGCTGACCACCCTGCAGCCAGTCCAGAAACATGTTTTTTGGACTGGCTGCAAGGTGGCTCAGGTGGAGTCTCCATGTTCTCCCCGTGCAGCGTGGGTTCTCTCCGGGTTCTCCGGCTTCCTCCCACAGTCCAGAAACATGCTGAGGTTAATTAGTGATTGTAAATTGTCCGTAGGTGTGAATGTGAGTGTGCTTGGTTGTCTGTCTCTAAGTGTAGCCCTGTGATAGACTGGTTACCTGTCCAGGTGAACCTGCCTTCACCCTGAGTCAGCTGGGATAGACTCCAGCCCCCCATGACCCTAATGAGGATTAAGGTGTAGAGATGATGGATGGATGTTTTTGGACCTTGTGGGAGGAAGCTGCAGAACCCAGAGAGAACCCACGCTGCACGAGGAGAACATGGCGACTCCTCAGCAGAGAATCAAAAGCTTCCATGATTACACTCATCAGCGTGTTCGCTCGCTTTCACTTCGCTGTTAATTTAGACCTCTCAGAGCGCCGCTACGTCGGAGCTTTGATTTACAGCGCGCCTCCTTCTCCCAGAAGACAGTTATCTATGCATCTGCATGCCTCTCAAGGACAACTAGCACAGTCAACCTTCAGTGGCTGAACAACATTGTCAGCACTTCTATACCCTCCCTGTGTGTGTGAGATGAGGTGCTTTACAGCTTCTGTCTCCCCCATATAGTATTCCCACAGAAGCTGCACTCACAGTAATCTGCGCTGATGACTGTTGTGGATGGAAAGTGGTGTGTCAGATATCACGGAGAGAATCATTTGCATTGAGCAGCCTTGTGCTTGTAGCGTCTCATTCACCTGCAGCTTTAATCTACAGCACACAGCTGAAACAACAACCACAGCTCTGTCTTTTTGTTGTTAAGGTGTTGGAGGACTCGAGACAGATCCTGGTGGCGGCCAACATGCAGCCCGACGACCCCTTCCCCATGGACGACAAGATCAAAGAAGGTCCGGTTCACTTTTACACCTCAGCTGTTTTATTATCTCGTGCGTCTTTCACACTCTGGTTCTGTCTCCATCACCTCTGACCGGCTTCGCTCTCTTACCCAGCTCTGAAAACTCTGCCTCAGTCTGTGGCCCTGTTCGAGGTATGGGATACACGATATCGCTGCTCCACCAGTCTGTTAAATTGACGGCATTCTGCCATTCAGACGTGGGTCAGTTTTCCGTCGATGGTGATCACAGCTTCGTACCAACACGGTGGTGGAGTCAAGTTTGTGATAAACCCTCGACTGGGCGAGACTAAATCTAAACTAGCAGCTTGTCAGACTGTCTAAGTGACTAACAGCCGACTTTATTTCTAATATTCCAAACCGTCTGTGTGTAAAGATCGTCTTCTTTACCAGCAGTTGAGTAAAACTATCTGCTGCAGAGTTCAAGACTCGATCTGAAGGACGACCGCTTCGTAATGAATTAACGAAGGAAAGCACACAGTGTGACGTGCTGTTAGATCCTGATTGATCTCGTCTCCACGCTGGGAATAATTTATTATTATAATAAGTAATTAATGACATTACTGCTGCTGTTCCACGTGCATAAATACACTTTCTTTGGAAGCTCTCGTGTGGATCCTGATGCTGCGGGTGTTTAAGTCGGAGGACAGACTCCTACACACAGCTGGGAACTAAATTTAAGCTCAAGTTGTCAAAACCTGGATTACGTGGACATTTCTGTTTGTAATAAAGTTTAAGAGCAAAGTGGATCAGGAAGGCGCTGTTATGATTTTTAGTGCATCTTTTGTGATGTTTTTGGCCCAACATTGCTGCTGAAAGAGTCCTCTGCAGATTGCTTCATAGACTCAATAGTTGTGTCTGTTGTGGGCGTCTCAGTGTGACAAAGTTCAGACTTGTGTCGTAATGAAAGTGACGAATAAGATCGCTGTAATGGAAAACAGACGAGGTTCTGATTCACACATGAAGTCGACACGTTGGGACGCCGTCAGAATCAGAGAAAGGAGCGTCTTCATCCACTTAGTTTACTTCCTGAACAGAATCCACCTTTATTCAAGCCTCCCTCTTCCTTCCTGTTCCACTGTTTCAAATTAAATCCAGCTAATTGTCATGTTGCTGCACATACACAGTAGTACAAGAAAGATGAGAGTGTTTCTACAGGATCCAGTAACTTAAAGCCATTTAAATAAACAGGTGTTTGCACATCTGGATCAGAAGTTCAGCATTCTGACAGCTGGTGGAATGAAGCTGTTGATCATTCTGGAGGTTCTTCCTTGATTTGATTTGATTTGATTTGATTTGATTTTTGCTGTATTTTTATTTTATTTTTTATTGTATTTATATTTTATTTTTATTTCATTGTATTTTTATTTTGTTTTGTTTTATTTTATTTTGCTTTATTTTGTTATATTTTGAGTTTGTTTTATTTTATCTTTGTTTTATTTTTATTTTGTTTTATTTTATTTTTATTTTGTTTTATTTTTATTTTATTTTGTTTTTATTTTATTTTGTTTTTATTTTATTTATCCTTTATTTTTATGTATCAGGGTGTGTTTCATCAGCACAACTGCATCTTTAAGCTCAGTCTAACTAACCTCCTGTCCCTGCCGTCTCTGCAGCTTACTCCCATGTGGTGGAGAACACGGCGTTTTTCGGCGACGTGGCGCTGCGTTTCCCCCGGATCGTCCACCACTACTACGACCGCAACGCCGACTGGGGCGGCCTGCTGCGCTGGGGCCTGAACTTCTGCAACCAGACGGGAGTTTTCACGGGAGGAGCTCACCAACACGTCCTCACGCTGGTACGACCGGACCTGTTTCACAAACTACCGACTTCTGCTTTAAGAAGGTTTCAAAAGGGCTGAACTAGTTTTTGGAAGTGCGATTTTTAAGTCTTTCAGTGGAAAACAAAAGCAAAAATGACCTTTTTTCACTAAAATCACACCTCGTATGTCAATATCTGTGAAAATCATCAGTTTCTAGTTTTGCTTTAGACTAAATTTCGAGTGTATTTATGAGATCTCCGCTCCGCAAAGCTAAGCAGACAAACAGAGCGCCGTCGCCTAGAAATAGTTTCTGTAATTCAGAGCACATTTAAGAACTCGTGTGGTTTCAGGTTTCTGAAGCAAAGGCCTTGAAAATGAGTAACGGCTTCACCTCGTGGATGCGTGTGAGGTTTACTCGGCTTCGCTTTAGTTTATTTCTGATGCAGGACTCGATATTGGAGATGAAAACACCTCAGCAGGAGGGCGTAGTGGAAAAGGAAGCGCAGCAGCGATATAAATGTGTCTGGTAGAAAGAGGTGAGTTTAATCCAGCCGTTTGTCACCTCGGCGTACAATTCATCATCAGCTAATACCTTTCTGTCGCTGCATCATATGTCATCGTTAATCAAATTTGTCGATGATGCATTCGCGGCCTCCGAAACCCTGAAAGAGCAAAGCTGATAAAACAGTGCTCCTCGTTTAGCGCGCAGGTTAATGAACTAAACTCTTGCAGGATTAATCTGTGACCTTAGCAATGTGCCAAGAGGATTATATAGTGGATTAATTCTTGAGACTGGAAGCAGCAGCAGCAGTTTGCCCTCCCCTGTGTAACCTCCACATATGGGAGTCAGCTGTAAATAATTCAAATCAGGTATAATAGCACCAGGACAGTAGTTTCTATGTGCGGTTGCATCATAGTGCTGCTTCACCGTAGAGTGAGTGATGTGACGCTCGCTCTCATTCTCATTCCTGAACCGTCTGGGTTTTTTTTTTTTTTTAAAGAAATGACTATGTATCATCTCCCCTCTCTCTTCTTCTGTCATCTTGTTTATTCTGCTCATCTCTCAGATGTCACAGGAGCTGGGAATAACGGAGAAATCCCCAGACTTCATAAACCCGTACCGCACAGAGAGAGATGACGTGAGTAAAGATGCATGCATGCGTCTCCGCACTTCTCTTGATGACTTCCCCATCACACATTAATATTCCAGGCTGGTACCTGGTAACCTGGTAACCACCATCTAATACCTCAGAGACTCCCGAAGTACACCTTTGCAACCAGTAGTATTAGTAACAGACAGATCTGAGCCGTATCGTACTGGATTTCTTTCTCTTTTTAAGATGAAAAATCTGTCACTTATTGTAATCTGTCTCAAACGCTGTAGGTGCTTCACACCGCTGAGGCCTTCCAGAAGATCCTGAGGGAGGAGGAGAAGAGGAGGAGGAAGGAAGAGAAGAGGAAAGAGATCCGAAAAGGCCCTCGCATCTCCCGCTCTCGCACCGAGCTATAGCGCTACACCTCCGTGCTTGTGAAGAAGACGAGGAGGAGCAGAAGAAGAAGAAGAAGAAGAAGGAGCATACACACAATCCACAGGGGGTGGCTTGACTCGTAGACTCTGACGGCGGCGACGACGAAAAGCTGCCGTCGCTTGTACAAAAAGTCAGGTGCTCTGTTGAGAAACCCTCAATGTGACGGAGAAGTGGAGGAGCGGGTGATGAAGATGAAGGCCGGAGTCGCTGTAAGATCTGCAGCGATTCATTCATAATTGGAAAATCTAACGTTATGTAACAGGTAAACGACGTCTCTGGAAAAACCAATTAAGGGAGGCTCGTTTTTGGGTTGTTTTTTTTTTTTGATAACTTGAGGATTATGTAACTGAACTTTGGAATATAAATAATTTTAGTATAATCTGTTTTCTTGGAAACGTGGCGACGCCCCCGCTGTATTGTGTCTGGTCTGGATTTAACGTGTCTAAAAACCCATTCGCTTCGAATAATTGTGGTTGCCAAATATGAATTTGACCTCATTAAGTGTGTTTATGGTTAAGATGGAAAACGTTTAATTATTCTATTTTCTTGAGCTGAGATGTTTTTAGGTGACCTTCTGAGGGGATGTTGGGCAGATTGCTGCTTAAGGACTCATTTTGTTTGGGGTTAATTGTATTTATTTGCATTTTTATGTGTTTTTGACGCCATCTGAGGGAATCATTCCTTCATTTTCCTTTTTTTTTTGTTGATCTTTTCCAAACCATTCTACATATTTTTTACCCTGTTGTTGTTTTTGCATAAATGACTCTTAATTAGACGTTTTATTCTGTCAGAGTTACAGGATGTGACCCTTCATTTTGCAGCCTGGTGTCCTTTTTTATTTTCTTTATATCTTTGTTCAGATCTACGGGACTGAGGTTGATGTAGTTTTGAATCGTATCATGACTGTTATAAAACTATGTGTATATTCAGAGGAAGAATATCTTTGCTGCAGAATGAACAAGCCATTTTGTTAACAAATTTAATGAAATAAAGTGACTCTGATCTGTACCGTGTGTGTCGTGGTGTGTGTGTGGATATATGTCATGATGTGTGTGTGACCGGTGAGCGGACGGACCGGCAGAGGGCGGGCAGGCAGCCGCTCGGCACCGACCACCGAAGTCCAGTGTTCGGGTTCGGGCTGAGCAGAGTTGGGAGCTCACACCAGCTGTGACTTTACCCACATTTAGAGGATGAAAGAAGCTTAAACGCAGCGAGGAGACGACTCACAGCGACTCTGAGGGATGTCTGACTCCGGTAAGAGGATCTTTGAGCGTCTCCGTCAGAAGTTAGCAACTTGCTAATGATAGCATGCTAGCTGTCATGCTAACTCCTAATTAGCTATGAGGTCGAAGTTCAGCTGTTTTGCTAATAAACGCGTTGGGATTAAAAACTCGATCTGTGCGTGTGATTTTTGATGTTTACTTTCAGCACGTGTTGTGATTGGTTGGTATTAATGACATAATCACCTGTTGGACTGAGCTAGCTGCTTCCTCTCTGTTGGGTTGTGTTTGTGTGCAGAAGCTTCCTGATGCACTGACTTCACTAAAGCTCATCACAAAGAGCCTCTGTTGTCCACATTAACCACCACAATACGAGTCTTGATGGCTGTCCTTCACTGCACAAAGGCTTCTGTGGTTTCCAATGTAGTTGCAGAGAGCCTCTCATGATAGTAAATCACAGTTTGTGTTGCAGTTTTTCCATCAGAGGAGCAGGAGGACAGGAAGCAGCCCGTCGACATGGAGGAGGGCAGCGAAGGAGACGACTCCGAAACCAGATGGACTGAAGAACTCAGGCTGGTCCTCATCGGAAAGACCGGATCTGGCAAGAGTGCGTCTGGAAACACCATCTTGGGCCGCCGTCAGTTCCTGTCACAGCCCAGCGCCAGCTCCGTCACCCAGATCTGCGAGCTCGGGACCACTGAGCTGTCCGTAGAGGACGACGCCGAGGTGGACGTCCAGGCTGTCGCACAGAGGAGGCTGAGGAGGGTCACGGTGGTGGACATGCCAGGGTTTGGGGACACTCACCTCAGTGTGGAGCAGATCCACGCAGAGATAGCCAAATGCGTTTCTCTGTCGGCCCCCGGCCCGCACGCCTTCCTCCTGGTGGTGCCCATAGGACGATATACAGACAATGAGAATCTGGCTGTCTGTGAGTTGGCCAAGATGTTTGGGGAGGAAGCTGTCTGTCACCACACAGTGGTTCTCTTTACCAGGGGGGACGACCTGGAGGGTGTAGGGATTAATGAGTATCTGAAGAAGACTGCACCAGCTGAGCTTAAGGCTCTGATTGACAGGTGTGGGGGCAGGTACCATGTACTCAACAACAGAGACCTCAGTGACTCAGCGCAGGTTACAGAGCTCTTGATGAAGGTGGACAAGATGGTGATGCATAATAACAGAGGGTTTTACACTAATGCCATGTTTTTAGAGGCAGAGGCTGCCATCAGGGAGGAGCAGAGCAGGATGCTGCGAGAGCGAGGACGAGCAGACGGCGATGATCAAGAGGGAGAAAACTGCAGGATGGCAGAACAGGCCAGACTCGCAAAGCGAAGAAAGTGTGACTTGGAGTCTGACAGAGCACGAAGCAGCGAGGAAGGATCACAGGCGCTCAGGAGGAGGGAGCTGGAAAGAGGAAATGAGGATTTGAGGGTGGAGAGATGGACAGAGGAGAGCCGAGGCAACGCCTTTAGCTTGTTGAGGGACCAGTTCAGAGGCCGGCGTCGGGGCCACAGCAGGGCCGTGAGCCGGCACCAGTCTCTCCGTTCACGTTTGAGTCACTTTCGGAGGGAGGCGGCGCTCTCTGCTAAAGTGCTGGAGAGAGTTAAGATCTTGGTGGCTGCTGGAGCCACAGGTATGGCAGTTGGGGCAGTGTTTGGGGCAGCTGCCCCTTTAGCAGCTGCTGCTGGGGCATCTCTCGTGGGGAACTCGGTTGGCTTTGCTGCAGGTCAGTTAGCTGGGATGTCTGTAGCCGGGGGCACAGGTGTCGGGAAAGCTGTGGGGGCCATAGTGGCAGCAGCCACAGGGAAGACTGCGGTTGCTCTGGGGGCGGCAACAGGGGGAGTTTTGGGTGGTTCTGTGGGAGCAGTTGCCAGTGCTGAGGCGACCTCTCCCAGGGAGGGCGCTTTGGACGCCCTCAGCCAGGTTAGCGCCATCGGGGCCTCTGCTGTGGGAATGGCAGCAGGTGTGGGATGCACCCTGGGAGCCGGGGCTGCTTTAGGCGCCGCTCTGGAGGGAGCCGCTGTCGGCACAGCAGCTCTCAGTGGAGCTGAAACTGCCACAGCAGGGGCAGCAGGTGTAGCCACCAGTTCTGCTGCTCAGTGTAGTTTAGCCTCAGCAGCAGGGCAGCATGCAGTGGCCTCGGCAGGCAGCGTGGCAGCGGGCAGCGTGGCTCCTCAGTGTGCTGCAGCCCTCGCTCAGGAGGTGGCTGCAAACGTCTCAGTGGCTGCTGGGTCTGCTGGTCCTGTATGTGGGTTAACAGGGACCAGCGTGGCATCAGTGGCCAGTCGGGTCGTATCGGACCCCTGGGGCACCGTGACCACGACCACACGCATCCTGAATGCGGTGGCTGAGATCGGCAAAGCTGCAGCCGGCATCGCTCTGGCCGGTGGTCTGGTGGTGAAGGTGGTCAAAGAAAAGGTGAGATGTGGCACCGGAACGACGGAGAACAGCTACTCAGAGAAGAAGTCTTATGAGATCTACTGGAACAAATAAAGACGAGCTGGAGTCAGATTCCAGCTTAATGAGATCAGAGCCGGTAGTTTTCCTGCAGATCCATTAAACACGACACCTCAGTGGAATATGTTGTTATTATACATATATGAACAAATCAGACATGATAGAAGCAGAGCTGGTGATTGCATGTGTTGGTTAGAGGCTGATGAATCAGTGATGTTTGTGATTCCATGTAGGATAATTAGAAAATCAGTGTTATGATTTCATGTTTTCAGACACATTTAGTCGAATGTGGGACGGTTAAAAGAGTTTTCATGCACATTTATTTCTAAATAAAAGAAATAAGACACAGCTTTTTTGGTGTTTCTACAGAAAAAAAAACACAGCACTGTAAAGAGAAAACAAGAAGTTCTCTGAAGCTGCAGGTTTTCAGATTCGCTGCAGCGTCAAAGCAATAAATGTTATTGAATATTAATCGGTGCCGAAAAGGAACAAAAGCGCTCAAGTTTTGCAACGCATTTGAAATCCTGTGGGCTTTGTGCTGACAGACGACGGTGGGTGGTTTTTATTGCACTTTGTGACATCCTCTAATATGTAAACCAAGCGAGAGCTTTGCAGTTCTGTATTAACGCTAATTTCAAGCAGACTGATTTCATCTGTCGTGTACGTGACAGAGCTTTGGTGCGTTTATGTTTTTTTCCTTTTGCAGTGAAATTAACAATAAAGACATTGTTCTGAATATTTTGGCTTCAATTCTCGTCTTCTGGAGCCGAGTCGTCATCTTCTCTGCCAATAGGCGCTTCAGTTATCAGATAAAAAGCACATTTTTGTGAGCCTTTAAGAAAAACAACAACTATAGCACAGATGTGAGAGCTTTTGTTGTTCAACTGTAGCTGCACTTGTGTTTTTATCAGAAGCTTTTTATCGCCCAGTGAGCTCACACACACGAGGAATGTGGTGAATGAAACCAGTACACAACAATAACAAGACAGGAATAAATACAGACATCTAGATCTAAGAGAGTCTAAAGAAAATATGTAAAAGAAAAGTGTGTAAGTAAATAAGAAGTACTGTGAAAGAGACGAGATAAATTAGGAAACAGCTGAAGTCACAATATTTCGCATGTGTTAGCGTGTTTAGCAGCTGATATGCACAGCTGGAGACATCGTTGTATTTGTTGTATTAGCAAAGTAATGATCATTTATCTCTCAGCCTCTTTATTAAGATAGAAGACGTATTGCAGGAAATCTGTGCAGAAAATTAAAAACAAGTCAGTATTGAGTGAGACCTCCGTTTCCACTGAGCACATCTTAAACTGGGTCAACTGTCTGAAAGTCTTCTTCAGTAATCCTGCAGGATATTACATCGAGCTTTCCAAAGTTCAATAGACTTTTTTTTCTCTTCCAACGTCATCCCATACAGCAGGGACCTCCAGCTCCTGCAGGACAGGACCTCAGGAGGACCAGATTGGGGATCCCTGTCGTACAGCTTCTACAACATTCAGGCCTGGACTTAGTGAAGGCCGGTCCATCACTGCCACTGTTTCTCCTTATTTCAATTTTTATTGTCCTCCTGACAAATAAACCTGTTTCCAATCCAGTATGAATTTGTTGGTACCGCTCAGCTTCATCGATTCGACACTACTGGCAGAAATGAAGCCCCAAACCATCAGAAGGCCGTCCACCCTGTTCCTCCAAAGCGCTTTTCCTCGTATCCTCGTCTTACATATTGTGAACGACTGGACCGGAGCAGTTCAAACTTTGATTCGTCGCTCCACGGGACTCTTTTTTTCTATCGATCTGCACTCTTTGTCGGCTTTTTCATATTTCAGCCCCTTTTTGAACAAGTGATTTCTTCCTGCTGCCCTTCCACGTCGGTCCTTCTGATCAAACTTCTCTCGGCTGTGAAAGGATAAACTCAGCATCCATGTTAATCTGCTGGAGTGCAGATCTGTGTTCTGGGATCTCAAAAAAGAAACAGTAAAATGTGGGTTTTTTGTCCTTCGCCTCTCTAGATTCTTAAGATTTCTTTTGAACTATTCATCCATCATCTCTACATCTTAATCCTCACTAGGGTCGCGTGGGGCTGGAGTCTATTCCCTGAAGGCAGGTTCACCTGGACAGGTAACCAGTCTATCACAGGGCTACACTTAGAGACAGACAACCAAGCACACTCACATTCACACCTACGGAC